GGTGTTTAGCAGTATTTAGCCTGTGTTTAGTGACATTTAGCTGGTGTTTAGCAGTATTTAGCCTGTGTTTAGCAACATTTAGCTAGTGTTTAGTGACTTATAGCTGTTGTTTAGCGACATTTAGACTGTAGCCACATTTGGCCGGTGCTTTTATTGACTTTTAGCTGACATTTAGCTTTGGTTTCAGCACTGATGAAGCAGAAACATTTTTGTAAGTTTGACCTGAGACGTTTGTTTCAGAATCAACATTTTGGACCTTTTAGACAAATCAGTGAAATTTAAATATTTTTAAACATTTATGAAATGTCAAAACAGAACATGAGTTTTTAACAAAATTTAATTTAATTCCATGGTTCTTGGAGCTTCTCCAGGTTGAAGCTACTTAAAGTGACACTTCAGGTCTTTTTGTCTTCAGCTTATCTTCAGCTCGTCTTCAGATTATCTTCAGCTTGTCTTCAGATTATCTTCAGCTCGTCTTCAGATTATCTTCAGCTCGTCTTCAGATTATCTTCAGCTTGTCTTCAGATTATCTTCAGCTCGTCTTCAGATTATCTTCGGCTCGTCTTCAGATTATCTTCAGCTCGTCTTCAGATTATCTTCAGCTCGTCTTCGGGTTATCTTCAGCTCGTCTTCAGATTATCTTCAGCTTGTCTTCAGATTATCTTCAGCTTGTCTTCAACACCATGAGATGAACATTTTAGCTGATGTTGGCTCATCCCTTCAGGAGACATCAGCTGCAGAAACAAGCAGAGTTATTTTTCGAGTGAACACACAGCAGAGTTTAAAACAATCCCAACGTCCCCACAGCAGGACAGACTCCTGTCCCTGCAGGTCCACGTCTCTGCCTCTCATGTCTCCAGAGAGGAGGGAGGTTCAGATCTTCACTCAGCTGTGAAAACTCCCACATTCCTGCAGATGTGCCACAAACATGAATTAAACAACAGATCTCTGTCTGAAGGGGAACAACTGTAAAACTGAGTTTTTCTTTAGCAAAATAAAACTAGAGGTTTGTTCTGGTTTCTAATTACCTGCAGCCAAATTCACAAAACACCTGAGTTCTCTGAGCTCTGGTTTCTGCTGCTTCAGAAACAGATGGACTCTTATTGTTTTACATTTTTAAATAAAACACAGAAACATGCTTGTTTTATCAGAAGAGTCTGAGACACGGGCTGAGGATCGTTTACTCAGTGAGTCAGAAACTCCAGTAACTCTGGGAGCTCTGCTAACTCTAGTAACTGTGATAACTCTGGGAGCTCTGCTAACTCTAGTAACTGTGATAACTCTGGGAGCTCTGCTAACTCTAGTAACTGTGATAACTCTGGGAGCTCTGGAGATTTAATGTGTTTTTGTGTCAAAAACCCAAAGACACACAT